AAAAAAAAAAAAAAAAAAAAAAAAAACTGGCCGAGTCCTTGTTTAAATATGTTTTCAGGAAGGGGAAGGCAAGGGAAGGGAACAGATAAGGAGTGCTTGAATGGGGGGTCTTGTTGGTGATCGATGAGTTGTTCGTTGTTCGCCGTTTCGTTGTTGGCGTGTGTTATGGTTGGCCTGAACTTTCGGAGACAGGGCGGTACGAAATCTTCCGGTCGAATGTGCGAGCAATCAAGTCGGCACAATTCCAGTCGCGAGCTCCGCATGTATGGTAGAGTGAAAGTACTTTCTTTTTTTTCTTTTTTTTTTAAGTTTTGTTTTTTTTGCTCTCAATTTCACCTGACACTCCCTACCTACCACATTACTCCTAATTTTAGGCATACGGGGAAGAACCCCGTAGCAGCGAGAACCGTGTTCACCACAGAACATGCGGGGCTGCTCCCGACCTGCAGGTGGGCGATATACCGGCCGGGGGACAGCCGGTAGCATCAGGGACCATGCTAACAGGACCAGTTCCCTGTGCCGCCCCTCAGGTGGCGGTCCCCTCCCCCCCCTCTACGAACATCAGCAGACTCTGCTCAATGCCGATCGGGGGATCCAGTGGTCTATACCTACCACTGTCGCCTATACAGTTATTCTGAATGTTTTTTTTTTTTTTTTGAATTGTCCTCCATTTTTGAGGTTCTTCTTTATGGTCACCTTTTTTTTTTTTTTTAATTTTAAATATGGACCATTTCTCGATTTATGCGTGTCATCCTTGCGCAGGGGCCATGGTAATCTTCTCTGTATCGTTCCAATTTTAACGGATGTCCCGAAGGACAATATTCTATTTTCATAATACTACCAAAAGAGGAAATAGCAGAGAGGAATTAATGAAGTCTGTGGCCCCAGTGGTTCTGCATTATGATATGGCTCTAAACGGAAAGCAACGGCAAGACTAAAAGGTTGTCGGAGGGCTTGTGAACGTGGTGGGAGTGTTAGGTTCTACGGTAGGACTACCGGTAGGTGATTCCCAAAAGGGGCACCTGATAAAAATATCAATCATGGCTGTAAGGGAAGGCGTCACCTGAATATTGGCCCTGAGATTTGGAGCCCGGAGCAGGTAACCACCCGGTAGGCCCAGCCTCCAGTTGGTTACCTGTAGGCAGTAGGGACTGCCTACTGGGACCCAAACTGTGGCCCCCAGAATAGACAAAAGGAGGGAGGCTGCTGGGGAGAGCACATCCAGGCATTCGCTTCAATGCGGAAGCGCTGCCAGATAGCGCCCAGGAAACAGAAAGCAGATGCGGTCCCTACCGGGGGCTAGGTCCCGCTTACACGAATAGCAAAGATCAACGGCCAGAATGTCTTAATCCGTGCAAGTGGGACCTTGCCCCGGGATGCAAACTGTGGCATCCAGAATAGACAAAGGGGTAGCTTCAGTAGAGTCACAAAAAGGAGTTGTAATTGCACTACGGGGCAAGATACAGTTTGCAATTGCGCTTCGGGCACCCTACCTGGCCAGAAAGCTGGGTTGTATACATTGCCCGAACTGCAATTGCAAACTGTATCTTGGCCCATACTGCAGTTATAACTCATTTTTGTGACTCTCGTGTAGTTTCCCCATAGACGGAAGGAGGGAGGCTGCTGGGGAGAGAACATTCAGGCATTCGCTTCAATGCGGAAGCGCTGCCAGATAGCGCCCAGGAAACAGAAAGCAGCTGCGGTGGCTGTGAGGCCAGCGCCCGCCATAGTTGGGCAGCGCTGAGCCGGGAGCTGAGTGGCAACGTGTCGGTGTGATAAGGGAAGGGGAATGGAATAACGCAGTGGGAACAGACGGTGCTTACCTGGTGTTGTGGGGGGGTTGTGGGGGTGTTGTGGGGGTGTTGTCGGAGGAGCATATATGTGAGCAGACTCTTTAGCAGCATCGGGAAAGAGACTTGTGGACACAGAGTGAGTGAGAGGTAGCAGGCTAGTGTGTGTAAATGGAGTGGAAACTATAGGCGGACGCATCATGGTAGGCGGACGCATCATGGTAGGCGGACACATCGGAGCAGGGGTACTACACTGTTGCTGTAATGATTACTGGAGGTAGAAGTGAACTTTCTTTCAGCGTGTTCTTAAATGATGCGCTCTCGGTTTTTGTAATGCTACTTTCAACTCGGCTCACTCATGCCTGGTCTTCTGTGAGCTTTACATCTCCAACTGTTATGTTGGCATGGGATGCGTCCTTGCATGTTGATTCTTGAGCGGATTTCCTCTTCGGCCCCCCTGCGCTCAGCCTCGCGCCCCGAATAACAAGAAGAACATGAAATCGATCCAGAGATGATGATTCATTGTTGTTCCTCACTCTTGACAAAGACATCAAAAGAGGCCTCAAGGACATCAATTAAACTTAAAAGCCCTACCATACCGGTGCGCCAATACGAGTCTGTGATATGTATGTGTTTGTGTGTGTGTATGTGTGTGTGTGTGTGTGTGTGTGTGTGTGTGTGTGTGTGTGTGTGTGAGAGAGAGAGAGAGAGAG